CCCCAAAACCCCAAAACCCCATAAGCATGAATTCTGCGATATGCGATAATTATAGAATCAGCTAAAATTGAAGTTATTAAATGATTATTAAGATTTTTAAATTTAAATTATTCATCAAAGTATGTCAACCACATGATTTGAAATATTAAATAAGTGGCATAACTTTTCAAAGTCTTGATCGATTTGTTAGTTCATCCTTGGTGGTCCACTTACCCAAATCTAATTAATCTGATTTTAGCATTTATTTTATATATTTTGAAGGCTTTCCTTTAGAAATTAATAGTTCCATCGAGTGTTGCCCTTCTCATTACTTAGCCTTAATTTAAATTCAAAGTTATCCAAACTAAATTATTTGCATAAATTATCCAAGCCCTAACACAATTCCAATCCAATTACCTCTTATTCACAAGGAAATGAAGCGAAGAGTATGAATTTCTTAGCCATAATTGGATTTTATATATTTTTACTCTAACTAGGTAATCTCAAGTACTCTAAATTCTAGAGAAGGATATTTGCAATAAGATCTATAAAAGTTAATATCCCTGTTCCAGCTGTAAATGCAATATATAATCCATTTTTTTACATTTGAAGTCCTTTTCCCATGAGTCCAGTAACTTCCATCTCAAGGTTTTCTTATTCATGAATTAAATTAGACATTTTCATTTTGCCTTTGTATTTTTTCACAACCATCGATAATTCATTGCTATCTTTATTAAATACTTCATAATCTGGTTGGCATATATTGTTATTTTTTATTGCTTCATATATTAATCTAAGCAATTCATCATAAATCTATGGACTTAAAGAGTTGCAAATAGTGTAATATCTTTTAATTTTAGGTAATTCATTTGATACTACTTAAAAATGTCTACCAAATGTCATATTATCTTCCTTTTTTATATTCCAATGCAAGATCTATTCTTTATTAATCATCTTCATCTTAAAAATTGAGGTACTTTAATTTATATCTATTTTTTTATGCACTATCATTCTATACTTCTTGGCTTAATTGATAATTTAACCAATGACCAGTTTATTAACTATTTTTCGAGCTTGAAAAGAGTGATTCCAAGGACTAATATCCTACTCAAGAGCATAACCACCATCAAAAAATTTGCTAATATCCCTTCCTATATTTTTCTCCATGATAAATATGCCGGCTGGATGAGCAGTCATGTAGTTTCCAACATCAAGCACCTTATCATTGAGGATTACTAATTTTTCACCTTTTAATATTCGATTGTAAAATTCTTCATAATCCATAGTTATTTCATGCTCTCTAATTGGAACTACTTTTTTAGAAAAGTATCTATAGGCAGATTCGTATACAATTAGGATAAAGAAATAAAATGATGTGTGAACGAAAGCAAGCACTGATCCATTAACATTATTCTTTGTGTAATTCATAGTACCACCAATTATCGCTAGCTGCGAGAAGAAAAGAGTAATATAAGACAGATACTATATTGGAGTGTTATTAGATTTCTGTAATTACAAATATGAACTCAAACAGAGAATACTTATATGATGTGAGTGATTAAATTTACTTACAGTATGTGTGCGTAAAACAGTAAGTTGGATCGAAGTTTTCCATCGCAGCTTCCTTAAAATTATTCTGGCAATAATTCCCCCAATGCAAGCAAAGGGTAGAATAATAGCTAGTATAGAGCCAACTAGACCATGAATACTGATTTTGATTTTCCAATTTAAGTAATAAATAGCACCAAGCCCAAATAGAAGGTTAAGTATAAATATTCCAGCACCACAGACACTGTGAATAATCATATTAAGCCTCCAATATTATTTGAGATATCTATTACTCCAAACCATTGCAAAACCCATTAATCCCCAGCTTATCCACATCATCCATCCATGAATTACTATGTAGAGACTGTCATTCTTAACATCTAATTCAGAACCCTCGTTAGTTTCTGAAAGTTCTCTAAATTCGCTTCTGCTGTAATTTGTTAAACTCATAAATTATTATATCCTTCAAGTTAGTTACTATTTTAATCATTTGAAATATTATGTCCAAGTTATTTTTATCTTAATAATTTAATTTGGTGTATTTTCCTTTAAAACTAAGACATGGGGTTTTGGGGTTTTGGGGTTTTGGGG